TCTGAACTATCCTTTCAGCCCCACATCCAATCGCTGTCCAAATCATGCTGCCTCCGCAACATCTTCAAGATATGTCCCTTCCTAACTAAAGACTGTTGTAATTCCTACACCGTTCACCTGATTTGGATGTAAATACCCTCAAATTAAAGCTGACAGTCTGCAGTTAAAGCACATCTTGTTAGTTTTATTTCAAATCCATTGTGGTGGTGTATAGAGCCAAAAATGTTAGAATTGTGTCGATGTCCCAATATTTATGGACCTGACTGTATATAGAACTGCCAACATTGGTGTCGGTGGACACAATGATAACCCCAACATCGGTTCAGTGAACGCAAAAATAACCCTGTACCGGTGGGCGTGTGTAGAGTTATTCTTTAGAGACTCCATCTTGTCTCTGTTATATGCGTAGAGCCCCCTTTTATCCAGCTGCTTTCTCACGGCAATACGCAGAATGTTTCATAGCTTTCTAGACACATAGCCAATGCTGGCCATGAGTGTCTACTAAGGCACAGAACTGTGGTTTTCAGGCAACTGACATGTGCTTATCTCCTGACTGAACTAAAGTTGTTGTAAATTACTGAATAAATGAGAACTTTCTTTATATTTTATATAACAATATACAGCAGACTGCTTCCAACTTGATCAACTGCTGGCATCAGTGCCAATGGATGCAATAAAAAACCCCAACACTGGTGTCAGTGGATGCAATAAGGATAAAAAAAAACAACCCAGCATTAGTGGATGCAATAAAAACTGCCAGCATAACTGGATGCAATAAAAACTGCCAGCATCAGTGTCAGAGGACACAGTAAAAATCGCCAGCATCAGTGAACGCAATAAAAACATCCAGCATCAGCGGACACAATAAAAACCGCCAGCATCAATGTCTGTGGACGCAATAAAAATCAACAGAATGACAATCACTGGATGCAAAAAAAACCTACCAGCATCAGTGTCAGCAGATGTAATAAAAACCACCAGCATCTGTATCAGTAGATGCAATAAAAACCACCAGCATCAGTGTCAGCAGACGCAATAAAAACCACCAGCATCAGTGTCAGCAGACGCAATAAAAACCACCAGCATCAGTGTCAGCAGACGCAATAAAAACCACCAGCATCAGTGTCAGCAGACGCAATAAAAACCACCAGCATCGGTGTCAGCAGACGCAATAAAAAACCATCAGCATCAGTGTCCGCAGATGCAATAAAAACCATCAGCATCAGTGTCCACGGACACAATAAAAACCACCAGCATCAGTGTACGCGGACACAATAAAAACCACCAGCATCAGTGCCCATGGACGCAATTAAAACCACCGGCATTGGTGTCTGCAGACGCAATAAAAACCATCAGCATCTGTGTCTGCAGACGCAATAAAAACCACCAGCATCGGTGTCAGCTGACGCAATAGAAACCACCAGCATCTGTGTCAGCGGACGCAATAAAAACCACCAACATCGGTGTCAGCGGACGCAAAAAAAACCCCACCAGCATCTGTGCCAGTGGACGCAATAAAGACCACCAGCATCAGTGTCCACAGACATTAAAAAACCCACCAGCATGGATGTCTGTGGACTTAATAAAAACCACCAGCTTCAGTGTCCACAGACACAATAAAAAATAACAGCATCGGTGTCTGCGGACGCAATAAAAACCGCCAGCATCAGTTGCCAGCGAATGCAATGAAAACCGCAAGATTCAGTGTCAGTGGATGTAGTAAAAACTGCCAGAATCAGTGGATACAAAAATGATCCGTGATATCAGAAAAGTCATGACTGAGAATCTCCTCCCACCAGGGTGGAGTGGCTGACCGGGGGGGGGGGGTGCTGAAAGCCACAGAGAACTTGGTTGGCTCCTCAATTATTGGTGGTGAGAGCCCTGAGAAGAGTGGAGGTGCAGAGTCTGAGATACTGCCTTGTCTTCACCAGACTTCCTATTGGACGAGATGTTGGGCTCCAAGCGGTATCCAGGCTGCGGTCCTCTAGCTCATCCAATCAGGCTGCAATGGAGGGCAGGTGAGACTCTCTTGCAGTCCTGGGGCACTAGTGGTCTCAGCGAGGGAAAAAATAACCGCCAACATGGGTGACAGTGAAAGGAAACCCAACCCTCCCACCTCCAACAATGTCGGCATTGGTCAGTCAACATATCATGGCTGACGTTAAAGCGGAACTTCTCCTAGAAGTGGAAACATATTTTTTGGGGAGAAGCAGGTCATAGGTCCCAGAAGGCAGCAGGGACAATTAAAAAAGCACATGTGCAGCGGGGAACCGGGTGTGAAGCCGCAAGGAGTCAGAGCTTGTTTTCCTTGTGCCGGTGTTGGGGACCTAAACACAGTGAAGAACCAACCCAGCCAAAGATATCACTAAGTATCCGGAAGTCAGCAGCTGATGGACTTGTATGGAGGATTTGTGTGCAGGACTTGTATGGAGGATTTGTACGCAGGACTTGTATGGAGGATTTGTACGCAGGACTTGTATGGAGGATTTGTGTGCAGGACTTGTATGGAGGATTTGTGTGCAAGACGTGTATGGAGAACTTGTAGGAAAGACTTGTATGGAGGATTTGTGTGGGGAACTTGTGTGGAGCTCTTGTAGGGAAGAGTTGTATGGAGGACTTGTAGGGAAGTCTTGTGTGGAGGACCTGTAGGGAAGAGTTGTATGGGAGGACTTGTAGGGAAGACTTGTATGGGGAACTTGTGTGGAGGACCTGTAGGGAAGAGTTGTATGGAGGACCTGTAGGGAAGAGTTGTATGGAGGACCTGTAGGGAAGAAGGACTTGTATGGAGGACCCTGTAGGGAAGACTTGTATGGAGGACCTGTAGGGAAGACTTGTATGGAGGACCTGTAGGGAAGACTTGTATGGATTTGTGTGGGGAACTTGTGTGGAGCTCTTGTAGGGAAGAGTTGTATGGAGGACTTGTAGGGAAGAGTTGTATGGAGGACTTGTAGGGAAGAGTTGTATGGAGGACTTGTATGGAGCTCTTGTAGGGAAGTCTTGTAAACTTCCATCTTTGTATGGAGACTGAAGATGGTGATTACCGGCGGCTTTATATCATTCAGCTCCTCTGTCAGCCCCGGTTATCACGTAGCTGTCCGGGGAAAGTCGCGGACAAACTGTTCCGCTCTGTGGGAGTGACTACAACTTCCAGAATGCAGCGCTCCGTAGTAGGCGGAGACTCCCTGTCGCAGACTCTGACATCATGTCCGGTGTCGTGGCTTCAGTTCCGGTTCGGGGAGGAGCGGCGTGTGAGTGAGTTACGCTCATAAGGATTACAGGTAGCGGGCCGGGTGTTCCGGGTGTTCAGCTCTAATCCTCAGACTCACTGCAGCCCGCCGACGGTATGCGGGGGTCATTTCCTGCTACCTGCAGAGTGCTGAGATGTGAGGGGGGAGATCAGTGTGCTGCCCCTTGTTTCCGCCTCTCCATGTGTGCCCCCCATAGGAAGCTGTGTGCTATGGGGGGCAGACATGGCAGTGCACTCCCATGCCGGGCTGTGTGCATCCATTGACACGCACAGCGCAGCTCCTCCCTTCTGCATTGGACTTGATTGACAACTGTAGGAGCCAATGATTGCCAGTGCTGCCCCTGTGAGTGGTCAGAGTGGAGATCTCCTGCAGGTGGGCACAGTGCTGGACTGAGAGAGGACACAGGTAAAGCCGAGCTATACCAGGCTCCAGCAATGCGGGGTCCCTCTGCTCCCCACCCAGCCATTGACGTCTTTGTTTGGCCAGCTTCTGCGTCTCGATCTCTGGCCGCTGTCATTGGCCGGGCGGGGATGATGTCACTCCCACACAGGAGTTCAGTCAGATTCGGCAATTTGTGCAGTGAGGTGCGCATGCGTGGGTCAGTGTACAGGACGCACACACAGCTAAGGAACTTGAATGCAGAAGTGACAAAGCATGTCTGTCCTGCAATAAAATGCCAACAACAGTAAAATCAGTCTGTATATGCAGCAAAGCATGCTTGTTATACTCCGTGTGGAACCTGAGGGGTTAATCCTCCACATTGTGTAGAAAAGGCTGTTTGATCCTGTCTTCTCTGATCCTCCCCTTTTTCTACTGTCCACAAACTAACTGCTGATAGTACAGAGCTCTAGGAGTCACTCTGCACATGCTCAGTTTGGTATGCATTGCTAGAGGTTTTTTCTTCTTGGGAGGGTGCATGTGATCAGCACTGTCCAGACAGAAGTCAGGGGTTATGCAGCCTCATAGGACAATCGGGGGAGACCAGATATGACTGCAGTGTCTGGGGAGACCAGATATAGTGAATGCAGGGTCCGGGGAGACCAGATATAGTGACTGCGGGGTCCGGGGAGACCGGATATAGTGAATGCAGGGTCCGGGGAGACCAGATATAGTGACTGCGGGGTCCGGGGAGACCGGATATAGTGAATGCAGGGTCCGGGGAGACCAGATATAGTGACTGCGGGGTCGGGAAGACCGGATATAGTGAATGCAGGGTCCGGGGAGACCAGATATAGTGACTGCGGGGTCCAGGGAGAGCGGATATAGTGAATGCAGGGTCCGAGGAGACCAGATATAGTGACTGCGGGGTCCGGGGAGACCGTATATATTGAATGCAGGGTCCGGGGAGACCAGATATAGTGACTGCGGGGTCCGGGAGACCGGATATAGTGAATGCAGGGTCCGGGGAGACCAGATATAGTGACTGCGGGGTCCAGGGAGAGCGGATATAGTGAATGCAGGGTCCGGGGAGAGCAGATATAGTGAGTGCAGGGTCCGGGGAGACCGGATATGGTGAATGCAGGGTCCGGGGAGACCGGATATGGTGAATGCAGGGTCCGGGGAGAGCAGATATAGTGAATGCAGGGTTCGGGGGGACCAGATATAGTGAATGCAGGGTCTGGGGAGACCAGATATAGTGAATGCAGGGACCGGGGAGACCAGATATAGTGAATTCGGGGTCCGGGGAGACCAGATATAGTGAATGCGGGGTCCGGGGAGACCAGATATAGTGAGTGCAGGGTCCGGGGAGACCAGATATAGTGAATGCGGGGTCCGGGGAGACCGGATATAGTGAATGCGGGGTCCGGGGAGAGCGGATATAGTGAATGCAGGGTCCGAGGAGACCAGATATAGTGACTGCGGGGTCCGGGGAGACCGTATATATTGAATGCAGGGTCCGGGGAGACCAGATATAGTGACTGCGGGGTCCGGGGAGACCGGATATAGTGAATGCAGGGTCCGGGGAGACCAGATATAGTGACTGCGGGGTCCAGGGAGAGCGGATATAGTGAATGCAGGGTCCGGGGAGAGCAGATATAGTGAGTGCAGGGTCCGGGGAGACCGGATATGGTGAATGCAGGGTCCGGGGAGAGCAGATATAGTGAATGCAGGGTTCGGGGGGACCAGATATAGTGAATGCAGGGTCTGGGGAGACCAGATATAGTGAATGCAGGGGGGACCGGGGAGACCAGATATAGTGAATTCGGGGTCCGGGGAGACCAGATATAGTGAATGCGGGGTCCGGGGAGACCAGATATAGTGAGTGCAGGGTCCGGGGAGACCAGATATAGTGAATGCGGGGTCCGGGGAGACCGGATATAGTGAATGCGGGGTCCGGGGAGAGCGGATATAGTGAATGCGGGGTCCGGGGAGAGCGGTTATAGTGAATGCGGGGTCCGGGGAGAGCGGATATAGTGAATGCAGGGTCCGGGGAGACCAGATATAGTGAATGCAGGGTCCGGGGTTTAGTAACACTTTAACCTGTTCCCAACCACGCTACAGAGCGGTCAGCTAGTTCTAGGAGGGTATCCATGGAAGTCCTCCCAGAACCGTGCCCGATCTGCAATCGCTGTGTCTTTTGAACACAGTTGATCACGTGGCTACAGAACGGGTCAGTCACAGCTGCTTTTACCATGTGACAAGCTGTGTCCACTCACAGCTGATCACTGGGTAAATAGGAAATGCCGGTTATTGTAAACGGCATTTCGCAGAAGGACATCTACACTGATCGTCAGTGTCCTGGTGATCAGTGTAGCTCCATCAGTGCGGCCAGTAGTGCCCCCTATCAGTGCAGCCTCATCAGTGCCCCCTATCAGTGCAGCCTCATCAGTGCCCCCTATCAGTGCAGCCTCATCAGTGCCCCCTATCAGTGCCCATCAGTGAAGGAGCAAAATTACTTATTTACAAAACTTTATAACAGAAACCAAGAAAATTTTTTTTTTTTCAAATTTTTTGTCTTTTTTTTTAGTTTGTTTAGCAAAAAATAAAAATCCCAGTGCTGATCAAATACCACCAAAAGAAAGCTCTATTTGTCTCCAAAAAATTATAAAAAGTTAGTTTGGGTACAATGTTGCATGACCGTGCAATTGTCATTCAAAGAATGAGAGCGCTGAAAATTGTCCTGGGCAGGAAGGGGGTAAAAGTGCTCGGTAGGCGAGGGGTTACAATTCCTGCCTGTTCACCATTTATTGATTTATTTTTTAACCTAAAGTTCCACTTTTAAGTATTTAGTGAGTTATACTTACCTGAGCCCAATCTCAATCCAGCACTGCTGTGCCTGAGGTCAGCTGCTCTCTCCTTCCTCACTGGATATGGAGGCAGCAACGGAGGGGAAGAGAGAGAGGCATAGGCTCCTGCTGCTGTCAATCACAGCCTATGAGGTGGGGGTCGGTGCTGAGCTGCACTGTGTGTTTGTCAGTGGACTCAAAGAACACCACCCGCGGACTTCCGCTGTCATTTATAAACAGTGGAAGTTTGTCAGCAGGTCCCAGTCAATGAATCACAGCCGGGAACTGCTTATCAGCCGTGTCCAATCACAGCCCAGAGCCTTGTGTTGATAACCAACACAGTACTTTGTACACAGGAAACACTATTTTTGTTTCTTCTCCCTGCAAAACGAAGAGAAGGAACATGGATACCTTTAGTCAAAAGCAGAACACTTGTTAGGCACACTTAACCCCTTGATTGTCCTGCGATGTTAACCCCTTTTCAGCCAATGTCATCAGTACAGTGAAGGTGTATAGTGTTAGCACTGATCACTGTATTAGTGTCACTAGTGATGTCAGGGTTAGTTCCCACTCAGTGTCAGATAGCCCGCAGCACTATCACAGTCACACTATTAGTCACTCATCACCACTATTGCTAGCGTAAAAAAAAAAAAAATAATAATCCTGTGTGTGTATATATGTGTGTGGGTATATATATATATATATATATATATATATATATATATATATATACACACACACACACACCCCCCCCATAGTTTGTAGGCGCTATAACCTTCACACAAACCAATCAATATACACTTCTTGGGGTATTCTTTTTTAACCAAAGGCATGTAGAAGAATACATTTTGGCCTAAATCGATGAGGAAATTTGATTTTTTTTTCAAATTTTTTATTGGATATGTTTTTTAACAGAATATAAAAAATATAGGGGTGTTTTTTGGCCTTTTTTTATATATATATATATATATATATATATATATAATAAATTAAAAACCCAGTGGGGATCAAATATCACCAAATTAAAGCTCCATTTGTGTTAAAAAAAAAAAAAAAAAGATATACATTTTTATTGATTACAGTGTTGCATGACTACACAATTACCAGTTAAAGTAGCGCAGTGCTAAATAGCAAAAAATGGCCTGGTCATGAAGGGGGTAAAACCTTCCAGAGCGCAAGTGGTTCACCTACCAGGATGTCATTGGAGAGTGTAAGGAAGCCCACGCAGACACAGGGAGAACATGCAATCTCCAGGCAGGTAGTGCCAAGGCTGAGATTTGAACCAACAACCCTGGTACTGTCAGGTGGAAGTGTTAACCAATTAGCCACTGTGATGCTACATGGGCACTTGCCGGTGGGGAGCAGCGAGGAGCACCGGCGGGGGACCCGAGAAGAGGAGGATCGGGGCTGCTCTGTGCAAAATCATTACACAGAGCAGGTAAGTATGACATGTTTATTTTATAAAAAAAATTATATTTACAATCACTTTAACATACAAGAAATGTTTTGACTTTAGAACCACTTTTAATGGTTTATGATGTTTTTAAGGTCACCATGTCTATGTCACATCTTTACGGCAAAGATGAGGACAGCGATGGGGTGGAGATGGAGAAATTTGAAATCACTGACTGGGACATACAGAATGAATTCAACCCCAACCGGCGGAAACATTGGCAGACCAAAGAGGAGGCCACCTATGGAATATGGGCGGAGCATGACTCTGATGATGAGAGGCCCAGCTTTGGTGGGAAGAAGTAAGTTTGCAGAAGTGGGAGATATTCCAGGTTATTTGTATTTTTCTTGGGGGGGGGGGGGGGGTGATTACAGCACCAAACAAATCAGCTACCTGTAATAGTGTGTGTCTTCCATCATTCAGACTGCTATGTCATATTAAAATCTTTCCTTTATGTGCCAGATACTGCCTAGAGAACTGGCCTACTGGTGCCTCAGGAGAGTTACAGCAGCAGCTGCAAGTATGAAGGACTTGTATTGCTTGCCGACTCCTTCATTATTCACAGAATTCATACTGTCGTCGTCCTACAATGTAATGCATGCTGTGAATGGGCAGATGAGATCCCGTCATTCATCTTCTCCTCTCCATTGACAAAACACATTGCATTGTGGGACAACCATGCTATGAGTTCTGTGAATGGCGGAAGGGGCAGGAAGCGGCTGACATCCTTCATCCCTGTAGCTGCTGCTGTTAACCTCTGAAGCACCAGAAGCTTAGCAGTACCTGACAGGACGAAGGAAGGCTTTTTGGGATACACAACATCACAGGTAACTGTGTTTGGTGCTGTAACCTCCTGAAAATCAGTAAACTTCAACTTTAAAGTAGAAACCCAGCCAAAACTTAGTTTTGGATATACAGAGTGAGAACAGGTTAGAACCTCCATCACATATTTTTCTGGGTACATTCTCCCTCAGGTCCTCAGTGCCAGCCAGTGCAATCAGCACTGCAGAACATCCACAGAGATAAATTCAATTACAGGAGAAGCTCACAATACCAAACGAAGTCGCCACTCATGGCCCATAATCCATTAGTCTCTGCAGATGTTGGCCGATGAAGCCTGTCAATGCTCCACATGTGAAATAAACAAGCTGGCAGCACTGCAATGGTCACGTCACTTTATTGTTCCAGATGAAGATCACAAGGCAGTCTGCCCAGACCAAGCCTCACTCTTGTCATACTTATGATTTTGGTCCTGTAACAATAAAGTCTGATGCTATTGACGTGTGGCTATTATACAGGTGACATTACCTGTGGAGTGTACTGTTTTCAATAGTTTGAGTTGCCCATTAAACCTAGGACTCATTCATACTAGAACGCATGGTAGCACGCTGTAGATGTTTGTCAACATTTAAAGATATTTGCACACCAGCGCTAGTATGACAATAGCTGTGCTACTCTGCTAAAAGCACAGCATGTATATATAATGAGCAAACATGGATTTTCATATACATAAATTATACAAATTGAACATAATTATTCATGCGTTAATACATGCATAAAATTATATTAATAAATTGTACACTATGATTGGCTATCGCAGTGGTCACATGATCGGGAGACAGCCTTCATATCTGCCAGCACACCACAGATAATTAACAGTGTTCTCCGAAAAGCTTTTTTTCATTGAAGAATGATCACATCACAGAAAGAAAGGCACAATGTTTTGGAGCCGCGCAGGACCCCTTTGTCAGGCATATGATGGCACATACCTGATGAAGGGGTCCTGCGCGGCTCCAAAGCATTGCGCTTTTCTTTCTGTGATGTGATCATTCTTCAATAAAAAATGTTTTTCGGACAACACTGGTGATCTGTGGTGTGCTGGGAATTATGAACACTGACCTGTGATGTTTACAGCTAGATGTTGCTGCAGAACCTGACACTTCTGAGCCTCATCCAGGAACATGTGTGATGTGAATATTAACATGATCAGGAGTCGGTCGCACTGCCTCTCGTCTGTTTGTAGAGACTGAGAGCTGTCTTTGACAGTGTGGTTACTGTTCTGCCACCCATGGATGCACTTGTGCAGCATGTGGACGCTGCACATGCATTCTGGGCAGCAAGAGGTTAATTTGGTCATATTGGTGTATAAAAACTATTAAATGAATAAACATACAGTGCCACGCTTTCCTTAAATCCAAATCCCTAAAATCATGAGAATACACAAAAATATATATATATATCCTGTCTCTTAATCTAATACTTATTTCTAAGAAGTATTATATTAAGAGACTGCATTGTAGAGACTGTTCACAGGATATATATATATATTTTTCTGTATTCCTGTATGATTTTAGGGATTTGGATTTAAGGAGAGCGCGGCACTTTGTTTATCCATTTATATCAGTATGCGTAGGTGTGAGCAGCTTTCTTTTCTGTAGGTATTTTAGTTATATTTATTGTTAAAGTGGAGTTCCACTCACTCTGTAAAAAAATAAGTCAGCAGCTACAAAAACTGTAGTTGCTGACTTTTAAAAGAATAGCCACTCAGCTGTCCCACAATCCCGCATTGCCCCCCCCCCCCCCCCCCCCCCCGCCGCAGCCCATTTCACCGGCCATCCTGTATTGCAGGCGCCAGCATCTTCAGTGTGGGCACCCAGCTGTGACAGCTTGTGGCTTCACAGCCGGGTTCCCACTCCGCATGCACAAGTGGCATTGCGCTTCCTGAATGGCCCCGGCGACTTCTGGGACCTGTCACGTGTCCCACAAGACTTCGGGGAGGGAGGGTAGGAGGACAACAACTTCCGTTTCCGATTGCCTAGGTGATCCCAGTGGAAGTGGGAGCGGGTACCTGTCATATTCGGGTATCTGTTCTCCCCCCCGCTCCCCAAAGGTGCCAATCCTTAATTAATGGGGAGCGGGAAACCAATCTTTAAAGCGGGACTTCCCCTTTTGGGTGGAACTCCGCTTTAAGTTGATTAATTGTGGTATTGTTTTCTAGCTGCTCGTGGGAATCACTTGGTATCATTTTGTGTATAAGAACAACTATTAATTTCTTTGGAGAATCAAAGCAGCTTCTTTGTTTTTAAATAACGCTATGTATACGAGTTCTAAAAACGCACCACAGATATGTACAGAACAGAATTGCCACATTGTCGTTCTTCTTCCTTCAGGTCCCGTGACTATACAGCCCCTGTGAATTTTATCAGTGCGGGAATTCGTAAGCCTGTGGCTGAAGAGAATTCCAATAGCGATTCTGAAGATGAAATCCCAACGAAGAAAGAAGATCTGCCAAAGGAGTTTGAATCAAAGAAGCTGCGGACGGTAAAGTTATACTGTCTTGTCACTGATTTGGAAATATAGTCCTGGCACACATTTTAGACATTTCTATATCACCTTTTCTCCATACCCCAATACACTCAAATAATGTCTAAATCATCCAAATCACATGAAATAAATTACGATTTTAAATAAAATAATATTTAAATAAATGTCCCACAACTGAAATTGTCCAACAGAAATTCCAAAAGTCTCTGTGTAAATATTCCAAAATAACTTGCACGTATTCCAGTGTAGACTTTCCAAAATCGTTGTGAACCTCCAAAACAAAAAACTTAAAATAGTGTATTACCCTTTAACTACATCAAACCGTGATAACCAGTGTAACATGCAAACTCCTTAATGTGCACACTTCACACGTGAGGGAGAAAAAAAAAAAAAAAATATATATATATATATATATATATATATATATATATATATATAATAAATTCTAATATTCTTCCTCTCAAGTTCTTATTATAGTGATTTTATCAATACCCACAGCGAAGTCAAACGTGACACCTCCACACACTGTCAGGGCCCCGGGTATGACCAGAGGTGTGTGGACTGACACAGGGAAACGCAGGCTTCAGATATGGTATAAACAATATAATTTATTAAGACTAACAATACATAACGCAGTGCAAAACTAAACATAAACACAGTGCAAACAAACCAAACCAAAACCACCCACCGATAACAATACATACAATACAAAGAGTAGTCAGGCAGGCCGGGTCAGTAGCAAACGGAGTACCAGGAACAGGCGGGAGAGTGGTCGGGGTCACAAGCTGGGTTCAGTAACTCACGGGCAGCGCGGTACAGAGGGTCAGGCAGAGAATGGTCAGGGTCACAAGCCAGGTATCAAGCAGGAGAAGTCAGCAGAGGTCAGGATCAGGCAGGGTCGACAACAAGTCAGACAGGAACAGGAATACAAGATACAAGGTACAGGGGCCCATGGAAAAACACACACCAAGGCCCTGACTGTGAGTCTGGCCATTCCTTAAATACAACCCCTGCAATCAGCTTCAGGTGTTTGGCTGATTGCAGGGGTGAGTCTCTGATTGCTGAGAGCACCCGCTGGCCAGCCCTGGTACTGCAGCCCACAAGGCAGCTGAGTCCCACCATTATTGGCAAGTCCATTCCTGACACACACTATACACTGATAGTGAACACTTCAAAAACACATCACAGTGATGGATCCAGTGATCTCATCCCACTAGTGAAAGATGGATAATTACCCTTATGCAAACAATGACAGGCTTTCTATAACCCCATAGTGACCCTCTCCAGATACTTTACTCCTCTTCCTTCCGCTCTTGCATATTCGCTTGGAGTAAAGGGGAGATATTCAGTGGTATAATATGTGAAATATAAGAACTTTTTTTGTAATACCGTACATTAAAATTGCAGATAATCAGCTTCCAATCCACAAAGTACTCAGATGTAGTCCCTGGTGTGGAAAATCAGCATGTTTCCACTTTCAAAATGGCCGCGATTGCACTTCCGGTTGCGTGAGTGCGTCAGACATCACGTGTCTCGACGCGTTTCGTCACTTCCTGGTTTTTTTCTCAATACAAAGCTTCCTGTGAATGGATGAGCAGTGTTTGACTCAATTTGGTTCCAGGAACAGTACAGGAAATTTCCATCCCACTGCCAAAACACAGAACTGTGTACTGAATGTTGCCCACCTCAGCCAATCAGAGGTAGCTTTGTATTCATCATGTGGTGAAAAAGTGACTTCATACACCCCAGGTAAGCTCAACACTGGAGGGTGGGAAGGAGGTGTCACAAAGGGGTTGTCACATGCGTCCCTATACCTGGAGGCTCGGCCTGTAGCACTGGAGTAGGAAGATGGCGGTAGGGAGAGGGTTGGTGGCTGATCAACACATACTTGCACATTACGACACACTTACATCTGGGTGTGCTCTCCTCCAGCAGGTTGGTCCAGTTAACAATAATGACTAATATATTTTTATGTTGCAGGGGGGAAACTTTAAGCCAACCCAGAAAACATTTGCTGGCGGGATCAAGTCGAATAATGATTTTGGTTTGTGGGAAAGGCACACCAAGGGGATCGGACAGAAACTCCTTCAGAAGATGGGTTATGTACAAGGCAGAGGCCTGGGGAAGAATGCTCAAGGTATTGCCAACCACAGTCCCGTTATACTGAATAATTATGAAGTAGTGTATCAGCTTGATAATTTTGATTTATCATTATTAAAATATAACTAAAGGCAAAACTTATTTTTTTTGTTTGTTTTGGATAGAATAGAGAGGGATTAGAATATTTGTCAGTTTTTATTGCTGTCTGTGTCTCCGTTAGGGAGATTCACCCTCTCTATGTGTCCTCTTTACCATTATGATTGAAAGTGAAAGTAAAAGAAATCCCAAATTTTGGGCTGTCCCCTGAAAAGTAATAGAGAATTAATTTTCCAATGGGGACACTGGCTCTGGTGATCTGGGGGTCCCCAAGGAATTCCCTAATTGCAGGGATTTCCTTTCCCTTCCTGTTTGGCTTTTGGACAGGAAGTGAAGGGAAATCTCCCCACTGGCACACAGATGGAGGAAAAAAAAAAAATCTGAAAGAGGTTCTAACCCTTCTTTTCTCTATCCAAAATGAAAAAAAAAGTTTTGCCTACAGTTTTACTTTTAAAACAAACCAATCCCAAACCTGGGCATTTGTTATGTATTTATGTATGTATATATGTGTGTATATATAATAAATAAAATATTCTTAGCTTTATATCCCCCAAGCCTGCCTCTTGGTCAGTGAGGTCAAGCATCACAGGGATGAGCAATAGGAAGGTTTAGGGATCTAGGAGTAGGGTTAAGTTATTGCAGGAAAAGTCAAAGCTTGCTTATTGCATCAACTCATAGAAGGTCACAGGCATTTTTTTTTTTTTACTCTACAAGAAGTGTACACATGGTTGACTCTTTCTTGTTCGTTCCATGCAGTAATCCAACGTGAAACAACTTTTACATATTGCCTCTATGCAGGTGTTTCCTGCAATAAAGACCAGTCACCTCTGCTCTCTCTCCATGTGCAGGCTGACTGATCTTGTTTCCGCCCACTTAGTAGATTTCTGTAGGCAGCCTGTAGTGGGTGGAGCCTGTGGATCCCCTCCCACTGCTCTGCTCTTTGCACAGGCTATGTACAGCACTGTATTGATGCCATGACTAATATTTAAACTGAAATAGTTGGGTTTGTATAGGCATTTGGTGTACACAAAGTGGGTTTATATTCTTTGAGGCTATTAAGGAATATATATATATATATTATGAATTTTTGTGCCCAGAATTTAATCCTTTTTTTTTTTTTCTTTTGATCATTTTTGGCTTTCACTTGTGCAGTACAGAAACAATTAACGTCCTTTAAAATACAACAAGCTTTCTGTACATTGTAGTTTGTTCTTCTATGACTGGGGTCTCCAAACTTTCTAAACAAAGGGCCAATATACTGTCCTTAAGATTGTGGGAGGGGGCAGACTGAGCCAGTGGGAGTAGAAAATGTCCTGGTGTCGCTGGGAGTAAAAACAGTGCCTCATCATTGGTGTCATTAGTAGGAATAGTGTCCCATCATTTGTGTCATTAGGAGGAATTTTGCCCCTTCGTTGGTGTCACTTGGAGGACATATGCCCAATTGTTGGTATCAGTGGGAGGAATTGTAAGGGAGAATGACACCAGCACACTGAGGATCACCAAGATGGGTCCTAAAGTTTTAATGAACGATCACATAGTTACAGCAAGGCAACGTTTTGGAGTCTCGCAGGACCCCTTTTGGAGCCATATTGGTGATCCTCGGTGTGCTGATGACATTCTCCCTTGCTGATTCTGGTTGGTTTCAGCCCCCACTTGTACACGCTGCCATTTTTAACGCAGATGCGTTTGGATTGTACACTTACAGTGGGAGGAATTGTGTCCCATCATTGGTGTTATTGGTAGGAATTATGATCCATTGTTGGTGTCAGTGGAAGGAATAGTGCCCCATTGTTTGTATCACTGGGTGGAATTGTGCCCCATTGTTGGTGTCATTGGGAGAATGTGTCCCCTAATTGGTGTCAGTGGAAGGACATTATGCCCAATTGTTGGTGTAAGTGCGAGCAGACATGCCCAATTGTTGGGGTCAGTGGACAGAATAATGCCCCAAGGGTTGGATAAAAGCAAGCAAAGGGCCACATCTGGCCCCCGGGCCGCAGTTTGGTGACCACTATGAAATAGGTAACATAATCGTTCCATGGAAATACAACACACCAGAACAAAAGAAAAAGACGTTCAGGAAGAATGCATGTAATAATCCAAATCACTATGCAGATGAATTTGCACCAGGGTCCAGTGAAGGGAGCATCCAGGTGGATCCAGTCCAATGACCCCATGTTTTGTCAGTGTCATGGCATACTCGTAAGGTTGTAAGTTACCTTTATAGAGGGGATGATTTGTATTTATCAGTCCTTTCCATTAGGATAGGCCTGAAGTTACACCTTTTATGCATGCTTTTTATCTTTACAGGTTGCTCTGAATATCTGGTTTAGGATATTAGCCAGTTTGTATATTAACTCTTGTTTTAAAAGTAAAGACAAAGTAAGGTTTTATTTATTAAAAAAAAAAAACTTTTGTCAGGTCATAAGTTATTTTTAAAGATGTAGGCTAATTATCTATGCATCTGCCATATTACTGTTGCATTTGAAAAATACAGCAGTCTGAGGTCTGCGTTGTCTTTACTCAGGTATCATCGCACCTATTGAGGCCAAGCAGAGAAAAGGCAAAGGGGCGGTGGGTGCTTATGGATCAGAGAGAACGAAGCAGTCTCTGAAGGATTTCCCTGTTGTGGATTCTGAGGAGGAAGAAGAGAAGGTGAGTTTATTACTTCATTTGGAAATTGTTTCATGTTTTATGAAACCTGATGCAGCCATTACCTTTGGGATGTTGTATGTAATCACTGGAGATTAGCTAAAGTGTAACCCCACTTCTGATGCCAAACATACAATCCCCTCCAAGTGAACTATTTGCATTGCAAGGATTTAGCAAACCATTTTTGCATATTTTTCTTTTCTAGTAAGTAGCTGTTTGTTTCATTATGTCTTTTGTCAAACTGATTTCAAAATGAAACCCAAAATGTCCCATGTTTTTGGTGCTTTTTCTGAAAGCGCATCAAACATGTAGCATGCACGACTTTTGATTCGTTTTCAGAAAAGGCTCCAAAAACGTAAGACATAGTGGAAAGTCTATGGGAAACTGGGTATATACCCGCGCTGCCGCCAAACTGCAATGTAACAGTTTGAAACTGCCCAAAAGCATTGAATCAATGACAGAAGCAGGAAATTAAATCTACGATGTTCAGAATGCACTGTTGGTTCAGCTTACCAGTTGCAAGGATCAACATCAGAATTGCATGACCGTCTTAGAAAAATCAGAGCTGCTGAATGTTTAATTAAAGTGAGAGGTTAGTATGTATGTGTGTGTATGTATATGTATATATGTGTGTGTGTGTGTGTGTGTGTGTATGTATGTATGTATGTATATATATATATATATATATATATATATATATATATATATATATATATATATAAACACTTGTCAGCAAATGTGTTTTTTTTTTTATTTATTTTTTTACTTTTGTGCAGGCCAGAGGTTTACATTTTTAATCACCAGACTTCCACTGTGCTTATTAGGTCTCGGGTCATATAGGGGTAGAACCATTAGCCTAATGCTCCTATGCTTTGGCCACAAGTCCTCCAGCTCTAGACTGACTGAGAACTGTCACATTATCTTCTGTACATAAACAGTGAGATTGCTACGCATAAGGCAAAGAAGATTTGAGTCCTACACCACCTTACATATGGCGTTCCAAGCAGCATAAGCTGCCCATTGTTAGGATCTTTCCACACAGACAATACATTTATGTTTAATCCAATCTGGTCCAGCTATATTTAAAGTGTTTGTAAAGGCTGAAGCTTCAGTGTGCAGGTCCCCCCCCCCTCCTAATACCTGAGCCCGATCCAACAATGTGTACGAGAGCCGAGGCTCTTCTGGGTCTCTCCTAAATGGCTGACACAGCAGTGGGAGCTATTGGCTTACGCATGGAGGAGGGAACGGGCGGGGCTGAACCACCCTATGTGTGTCCCATAGACACACAGAGGCGGCTTGGGAGCAAGCACACACGAGTGCCCCCAGAGCAAGCTGCTTGCTCTGGGGGCACTCAGCGCCGGCAGGGGATTTGAAAAGAGGAGGATATGGGGCTGCTGTGTGCAAACCATTACACAGAGCTGGTAAGTATAAAATGTTTATTTTTTTTTATTTTTTAAAGAGCTGAAACTTTCTAACCACTTTAAGATAATACGAGATTCCTGCCCTCATGAAGTGGCACTTTCGCTACTGTGTGTATGTGTGTTGGTGTGTGTACATCGAGGTATATATAATTTGGGCTTTGCTCTGACGTGTAATTGAAAGATTTGACTCTGTGGTTTTGCAGCCCTGATGGTAACCATCGTTTGTTTTTTAATTTTAAGGATTGTAAGGGACCTGTGAACATTTGTTTCTATGTCTTTTGTTCAGGAATTTCAGAAGGAGCTGAGTCAATGGAGGAAAGACCCTGGTGGAATCAAGAAGAAGCCCAAGTATGCCTACAAGACAGTGGAGGAGCTAAAAGCCAAAGGGAAAGGGGGGAAAGTCATCAGTGCACCTCAGAAAGAAATATCTCAAGTCAAGGTAAGTTCTGCTGTATGGATGTGCTTGGTAAATACTGGGAAATGGCTCATGCAGTTTGGCCCATTTTCAGATAGGTTGACATTTTCAGGGTACCATGCAACATAGGTTACCCAGCCCCCTCCCCTCTTCAGGCCATAACCATGTTCTCTCCTAAGAGTGTCTATATGCTCTCTCTGGTGGCCCAACTCTGCTCCCCTCCTTTCACCTTTCTACATAACCTTTTTTTTATAGCTCCTGGGGGAGGAGCAAAGGGTAGTACTATAGAGGTCTGCTGACATTACATCCAAGATGGCAGTTTCAGGGCTTTAGATGTCTGCACAAGGGAGGCTTTGACAGGTAAACAAAATGCATAAAATACGATCAATGAACATATAATCTTATGGGAATATAGTTGAAATTAATGTCCTGGTGACAGGGTCTCTTTAACCACTTGCCCTCCTGAGGATTTCCCCCCTTCCTGACCAGGCCATTTTTTGCGTTACGCCACTGCGTTACTTTAACTGACAATTGCGCGGGTCAGGCAAAGCTGCACCAAAATGAAATTTATGTCCTTTTTTTCCCACAAATTGAGCTTTCGTTCGTGTTTTCTTTTTTTTTTTTTTATCTGATCGCCTGTGCAGTTTTTCTTTATTGCGCTATGAAAAACAAAAAGACCGGCAATTTTGAGAAATAAAAATATTTTTGACTTTCTGCTATGAAACATGTCCAGTAAAAAAAATAAAAAAATCAAATTTCGTCACAAATTTAGGCCAAAATGTATTCTGCTACATGGCTTTGCTAAAAAAAACTAACATGTAAATTAATTGGTTTACATAAAAGTTATAGCATTTACAAATGGCGATATAGATACCAATACAGTAATCAGTGCAAAAAAAAAAAGCACCGACACTGTACTAATAGCATTGGGCAGGAAGGGTTAACATGAGGGGCGATCAAAGGGTTAACTGTGTGCTGGGAGTGTTTTACTAGGGGGCAATGTGTTGGTGCTTCACTGTAAGCACACTGCTCTGGATGGCTGTGCACAGCCATCCAGAGCAGTGTGCCCGAGCCGATAGGGAGGAGGACTGTTAATAAACAAAATAGTCCTCCTCCCCATCTGTGATCATTGTAAATCCCCGGGCGCTGGCAAGTAATTACCGGCCGAGACCCAGTGATTGACAGCCGGGCAGTTGTCACAGAGCAGATTGGCACTGATGCAGTGCCCCCCAGCAGTTGCGCCCATCAGTGCCGCCTATCAGTGCCCATCATTGCTGCATATCAGTGCAGCATCATCAGTGCCTCCTCATCAATGTCCACCAGTGCCGCCTCATCAGTGTAGCCTATCAGAGCCTATCCATGCCACCTGATCAGTGCAGCCTCATCAATGCACATCAGTGAAGGAGAAAAATTACCTGTTTGCAAAATTTTATAATAGAAACAGAAAAACTTTTTTTTGTCAAATGTTTTGCTCTTTTTTTTGTTTATAGCGCAAAAGATAAAACATCCAGCAGCGAGTGCATACCACCAAGAGAAAGCTCTATTTGTGTGAAAAAAATGCTAAAAAATTCCATATGGGTACAGTGTTGCATGACTGCGCAATTGTCATTCAAAGTGCGACAGTACTGAAAGCTGAAAATTGGCCTGGGCAGGAAGGGGGTAAAAGTGCCCGGTAGGCAAGTGGTTAAAGCCTAACTCCATGTTTACTTCACTTTCAAAATGGTTTGCTTGAGCCAATCTGTATCAGTGACAGTGGTTCAGGGACTTCCCATCTGTTGCTGGAACAAAATTGAATCTGGCTGAGAGATTCTCAGCCATTCAGAGGAAGTATTGTGTTTTTATTAATGAATGCAAGACTTCCTATGATTGGTTGAGATGGAGATTGTGATGTCATCTGCATGCTATCGTTAATAGGTTTTACATTTGTGGATCATATCATAAGCTGGCAGCAGGCTTTAGAGAGCCATGTACAAACTGATCGAATCACAGTGTCTGCAGTACCCTTTTCTCCAGATACAAGGAGCATTATGATTGCATTAGAAATTCTGTGTGGGTCATGGGAGGGAGGGTTGGTAACCCATTGTGCTCTGAGAATTTATTGTCATGTGTTACCCTAGGTTCACATCTGTGCGAGGGGGTGCCGCTGCAGATCTGCACGAAAATCCTCACAGAGAAATGCGGACCCATGGGCGGGTGCCATTAGTTCTAGTGGCACGCCACGCACACTGGAAAGCGCAACCGTACTGGGAACCGAGGTTCCTGTGTGGGCTGCGTTTTCCAAAGAAGTGCAGGAATTTCTTCCCTGCATATCATGGGGTGCGGGAGTCCATTCAAATGAATGGGCTCTCATGCCTGTGCAAAACACGGCCCGCACTGCTGCATAATTGTAAACCAGGAGTAAGATATTCTTGTTTTGCAAAGTAAAAGATGCATATTGAAAATAGTAGACATAGAACATACTTTAAAAAAAAAAACACAACTTAATATTTATGTCTGTTTAAAGAAAATACCGTATATACTCGAGTATAAGCCGACCCGAATATAAGCCGAGGTACCTAATTTTACCACAAAAAACTGGGAAAAACTATTGACTCGAGTATAAGCCGGTGGTGTCGGTGGGGGGAGGAATAGTGCCCCATCGTTGGTGTCAGTGGGGGGGGGAGGAATAGTGCCCCATCGTTGGTGTCAGTGGGGGGAGGAATAGTGCCCCATTGTTGGTGTCAGTGGGGGGAGGAATAGTGCCCCATTGTTGGTGTCAGTGGGGGGAGGAATAGTGCCCCATCGTTGGTGTCAGTGGGGGGAGGAATAGTGCCCCATCGTTGGTGTCAGTGGGGGGAGGAATAGTGCCCCATCGTTGGTGTCAGTGGGGGGAGGAATAGTGCCCCATCGTTGGTGTCAGTGGGGGGAGGAATAGTGCTCCATCGTTGGTGTCAGTGGGGGGAGGAATAGTGCTCCATCGTTGGTGTCAGTGGGGGGAGGAATAGTGCCCCATCGTTGGTGTCAGCCTGGGCTCGCTCGCTCCCTCCCTCTCCCATGGTACACACTTACCGGTCAGATTGTCTTCCTTCTCCGACCGCTCTCCTCCTCTTCACTCGCTTGATCTTTGCGGTGCCGCTCGGCTCCTCCTCTCCAAGCTCCACCTCCTCGCCGGTGATTGGGCGCCTGTGTGCCTCTCCTGAGCTACAGTTCCGGCGGCCAATCACCGGAAAGGATTGATCCCGGGGGTGTGTCCAGATGACAGGGACGGCATGTCATCTCGCCCACACCTGGAGACGTTGACTCGAGTATAAGCCGAGGGGGCTGTTTTTCAGCACAAAAAATGTGCTGAAAAACTCAACTTATACTCAAGTATATACGGTATATTTAAAATCCCCCAAGCAGTTTGTTTGATCTCTAAAGCCACCAGAATTATTAGTTATTATTAATCATGACTTTCATTGGCTCATACTAGCTTTTTTTCTTTTCTTTGTCCCTCAGGTGATTGATATGACCGGACGGGAACAGAAGGTTTACTATAGCTACAGTCAGTTCTCACACAAGCACAACATGCCAGGAGATAGCACAGCACCAGCAGGGAAGGAGGAGAAGCCGCAAGGGTTTGTTCTGCCAGAACTAGAGCACAATCTTCAGCTGTTGATTGACATGACAGAGCAGGAGATCATCCAGAATGACCGGCAGCTGCAGTACGAGAACGACATGGTGGTGAACCTGACCCATGAGCTGGAGAAGCTCTCTGAAGTTCTGGGGAGGGAGGAGAAGACCATTCACAACTTGAGCCAGGTCCTGAAGACTGTGGAGGACTGTGAACAGAGGCTGCAGCCTGGCTGTGAAAATCCACTCACGCTGGATGAGTGCGCACGTGTTTTCCAGACGCTGCAAGACAAATACTATGAGGAGTACAAGATGTCTGAGAAGTCTGATCTGGCCGTGGCTCTTGTCTATCCTCTGGTGAAAGAATACTTCAAAGACTGGAACCCCCTAAGGGTAGGTAAAGTGGAGAATGATGAGACCTTTATATTTCTAGCCATTCCAAAGTTTGTAGAGTTATTGATGCACATTGGGGAGATTGTTGCTGGAGTCAGTTTACTACGGATGGGCCTTTAATCAGCCTGTCTGACCCGTGGAGTTACAAGTGAACTTGCCACACATTTCAGTTAAAATGTTATCAGTCCTACCCCAGAATGCACTACAAAAGTGTGTAGTGGATGATTGATTTTATTTCATAATCCATTGCAGGATACTGCAGATCTCTAGGTTACTAACTCAGCTCTTAGGAGGTTACACTTAACCTCCCTGGCGGTATTCCCGAGTGTAGCTCGGGGTAAAGTTTCAGCACCACAAGCTGTAACCCTGAGCTACACTCGGGAATACCCTGCAGCATTGCTCCTGGATCCCTTTTGCACCTACCTTGACCTGCGCTCCCACGATGTCCCTCCTGCAGTGTCCCGGCAATATCCTCCGGCGGATGCCGGCATCTGTCTTCTGGGTTCCGTTCCCTGTGATGTCAGGATATACGGGGGGGGGCGGAACTGGCGGGAAATTTGAAAATGTCGAAAAGTGACATTCACTAATTACACTAAAATCACATAGTATAACATTCCTGTATCAAACCATTTCACATACATTTTGTCCCGAGTGCTTTGTCCTGCGCTGTGCCTGCATTTTTACTGTTCTTTCTGCCTGGAAACTGAGAAACGTCCATGGTGTCCAAAAAGCGTCCCTTTAGGTCAAAAGCGGTTTTAGACCGGCTAGAGAACAGTGATAGTAAATCAGAACCACTTGCAGAATTGAGTGATAATGATTTGTGGGGGAAATTCGTCATCAGACACTGAAAACGATTTTGCGACTTTGCTCAGCAATGTGCGAACTTGGCGCTATATTTCAAATTTCAGTGTTTTTGGTTTGATTATATTATTGAATTATTAATATTATTATTATATTATTTTTTATGATTCATGATTAACATTTACTAGACTCTCTTGTTCGGACAGATTTCATAGTTAATTTATGATTTCGTGTTTTTGAGCAAATTTAATAACATACCCTGGCATGTATGTTTACTAGACTCTTTTGTTTTTGACAGATTTCAGTGAGTTATTCCTAAGAATTACAGGCCTACAATAAAAATACATATTTCCATGCAAAAAAATGTACCACTTTGAGCACAGAAATACTGACATAATCAGACCGCTAGGGAGGCTACTTTAAAGTTTCAAGCTGCTGCATGTAAACTGAAAATGTAGACAAATATTCTCCCAGAGCTTGTCTTACCTATATCACATTTTGTTTTTGTCTTTATCTGTTTGTTCAGGACTCTACATATGGCATTGAAGTCATGACAAAGTGGAAGAATCTCCTGGAAGAAGGTCATCTTTCCCATAGTGCACAGGATACGGCCATGGACTCGTATCACAGGTAGTTTGATTGTCCGCTGTCACTCAAAAACTGGACACACAACACTATCAGTACCCTTCACATGATTCATTTTGGAGGCTGCCTCACACATGTCATTGTAATGCCAAATCAACACATTATTGTGAACTGAGTAGGAAAGTACCCAAAGCATATAGTATTCAGTGGCCCAGAGTCCTGACCTCAACCCGACTCTGTCTGATAGGCATGCAGGGAAGAGGAGTGGTCAAAATCAGCACATCTGGGAAACTACCTGCCAATGTATTAAGTCATTCACATACTTTTTCCTCCCTGCATGTGAATGTTTACATGTTATGTGCAATTAAACCATGGCAACATCTATGTTTGTATCATGTGTATACAATGTTTTATCATGTTTATGTAGCTTCTCCTACACAACCAATAGTGACTTAATTTACTTTAGCAGATTGCTTTCACTTGTCTATCTAAAATATTCAAAAGAAGACTGCAGACCCCCTTAAATGTGAAAAGATCCGCTATTTAATCTCTGCTAACCAATGTTGGCACTTTGACGCAGTAATCATATGCAGTTTCAGAATAACTCTTTCAGGGTTGTGCAAAAATATGCTTTGTGTCCATGCATTCTGGTGCAAATAAATGCAGCTGTAATTTTTATCACATGCATGTGAAAGCATTGCAATGGTGAAATGTGGCTTATTGAAATAGTCATTTTTCTTGCATATGTGTTCAGACTGCATTTTAAAGATACGCTTGTTTTAAAAAAGCAAGCCTTGAGTTTCTTCGACACCCTTTTTCCCTCTTGAGATCCATTGAAGAAAAAAAAAATTACCTGTTTGCTTCAGTCCTTTTGATAACATGATGGGTCCTTCCTCTCAAGCCTCATACTTGCTGGGCGTTTAGCTCCAGTGCATGGGACTAGTGTTTAGTTGCTGCTGAATGACATAGGTGCACCTTCCAGCCCCACTACTGGTAGCTTGTAAAACTCAGAGGCTGAAAGCTGCTGCGGCTGAACAGGGATGGATGATGTGCCAAGTGCTTCTAATGTTTAGGGTAGTATGCACCCAGAAGGAAAGCAGCCTTGGAAACCAAGCAGATTCTCCAAGAAAAAGGACTTGAAAGTAATAGCTATCTCAGATATCTTTTGTGTGTAGTCCGCTAAGGTTGCTTGTGCATGCCAACACTGAAAATGTCCTCACATCAGCCAAACTTAAATAATCAAGGGGTACGCATGCGTGCTGCCGCAATGAATAATGAGACCTGTAGAAGTGTAATTGTGTGACTGGTGGTGATGGTATGAGTGTGCCCTCCATGATTGGAAGTTTGGGGAAGCAGGAGGATGTATCTGGTAAAAGATTAAAATGTGTTTTTGTGGACTTTGTTGGAAGTAATCACTTATTACTTCCAACTTATTACACATTGGTGTCTGGGGGAAAAAAAGGCTTTACTACTACTTTAATATGTAATAAATGGAGATCTACCTGCTATGCCTTGAGGCACTATGGAGAGATTGTCACTTTGTCATGAGCAGCTTAACCACCTCCCGCCCGGCCGTTGTATATAAACGGCCAGACGGTGGCAGTGCAGGGTCGGGTTTATAAACGGCCTCCTCGCCCCCCGCTTGTGCGCGCTCCCTGGGAGTGCACAGCACCGCGCTCCGGTGCCCGCTGTGTCCTCCGGACAAAGTGGAACACCGATCGTTGTACGGGACCTCTGTGTGAGGTCCCGATCATGTGATCACTGATTGGCCAATCAGTGATCACATGAATAGTAGTAAGCAAGATGTCACTTCTGACATCATTGCTTACTACGTGTGAAATCTGTGAATGATCACAGAGGTCACATGGTACAAGGCTATTCACAACAGCCTTGTACCATGTGACAAGCTGTGACCAATCACAGCTCACTCAGTAGTTCTCAATGGCTGCAGGAATGCAGCCAGAGAGAAGGAAAAAGTATTGCTTTTACAGCCTTTATGGGTGTAAAAGCAATCAGTGTAAAAAAATCTTCATAACCCCCCACAAGTAGTATCACTATGGTGACACTGTACTGCTAGGGTGACAGTATGTAAAAAAACAAAAAAAAAACAAATAATATAAAAATGTAAAAAAATGTTTTTGAAAAATTATAATTTTTGGTTATAAACTAATTTGGGTTATTTTTTTTTTTTTTACTAAAAAGATACCTGCATACATTTTGGCCAAGATGTATGAAGAAAGATTATTTATTTGCAAAAACACTTTTTTAAAAAATTTGTGGACATTTTCATTTATATAGCAAAAAAAAAAATAAAAATCCCAGTGGTGAATAAATACCACCAAAATAAAGTTTTATCTGTCTCAAAAAAATGCTAAAAAATAAATATGGGTACAGTGTTGCATGACCGCGCAATTGTCATTCAAAGTGTGATAGCGCTGAAAATTGGCCTGGGCAGGAAGGGGGTGAAAGTGTCCGGACTTGAAGTGGTTAATATGTTATAAATGGAGATCTACCTGCTATGCCTTGAGGCACTATGAAGAGATTGTCACTTTGTCATGAGCAGCTTAAGAACTCTCACTAACGTCCAGTCATTACTACAGCCACTGATGAGTCCCTGACATCAGAGCGCTAGAACATTCAGCTTCCAGGCCTATGAACAACAAATGAAATATAGGTTGCAAAATTAAACACCCAAGAAAGTCAGCCACTTACATTGGAATCACTGTTTGTCAGTGGAGATCTGGCTGTGTTGTTTACATTGTTTCACTGCATTGACATCTTCTGTAATATGTAATGTCGGCACCTGAGTATATTAATAACAGTGTAGTTCAAATGACTCTTCTTGTTTCTTTTCAGGCTCCTGTGGGAAACATGGGTTCCCTTTTTACGAAACATCATCTCCCAATGGCAGCCTAGGAACTGTGCCCCCATGGTGGACTTCTTGGACAGTTGGGTCCACTTGCTCCCTGTTTGGATTCTAGACAATATATTAGATCAGCTGATTTTCCCCAAACTGCAGAAGGAGGTACGCTTCCAGATTATTCTGATCGAATGTCGTACACATTTCACATTGGTCACAGGTTTGGAATAATTGTTGAGGACTCAAACTAAAGCCAATCATTTGACTGTGAGCGGGGGATTAGTAGGGAGCACTGTATCCAAAGCTACCACCTAATGTTAGCTGTAACTTTTTGCTTTGAATATTCTTTTTCGCACCACTTTTTTAATCTCCAGCAGAAAGGGTAGATAACGAATAGAGGAACTCTAGTTCAGTCTCTGCAGGACAAAGTACAATTTTGTCTATTAACTCTCCCTTCCCTACTTCTGCTGCTCCAGTCTAGTCCGCAGACTGCAATGAGTTTTTCATTATTTGTCTAGTGTTCATTCACATTTGTAGACAGAGTATCTGGACTCTGGCAAAAAAGGCAAGCACAGGATAAAGGACTAGTAGGCCTGTAGGCTCCCTGCAGCTAATCCTTTCCCCAATACTGACTATCATGTCTCTTTTTTTTGTCTCTATGTGGCAACGACCATCTTAGCAAAATCAGGACTCTGTTTCCTAATGTTAGATCTGCCCACCCTGGACTGGTCATCTGATGACTGGTGGGGTAATGAAGAAATCACAGATCCATAAAATAAGTGATTATAAACCTTTTTTTTAAAATACTAAACATGTTATGCTCACCTGCTCTGTGCAGTGGTTTTGCACAGAGTAACCCAAATCCTTCCTCTTCTATGGTCCCTCACCAGCGCTCCTGGCTCCTTTTGTTCTGCAAGTAACCCATAGGAAGCTGCTTTCGATTGGGCACTTGTGTTGGCCCGCTCCTGAGCACCACTGTCTGCATCCATAGACACAGACAGGGGGGACTTGGCCTCACTCCCTCGTCCTAAGATTTTATCGACAGCCACAGGAGCCAATGGTTCCTACTGCTATCGATTATTATACAGTATTTATATAGTGCCAACAGTTCATTCAGCGCTGTACATTACAATGGGAGACAATACACGAGACAGTACAATAACAATACAATGCACGAGGGGTTCGAGGGCCCTGCTCCTTGGAGCTTACAATCTAGGAGGGAGGGGATAGTGGTACGGGAGGAATAGCTGTGGGGGATGGAGTGGTAGGAAGAGTGGAGGAGATCGGCAGTTAGCAGGGGGAGTGGTAGGCTTCCCTGAAGAGGTGGGTTTTCAGGGTGCACCTAAAGGAGAGGAGAGTATAGTCTGATGGATTGGGGTAGGGAGTTCCATAGGATGGGTGATGCCCTGGAGAAGTCCTGGAGGCGGGCATGGGAGGAGCAGACCAGGGAACTAGAGAGAAGGAGGTCTTGTCAATCTGCCCTATGAGGAGGGAGAGGGAGGAGAGAGCTGCTGCTCTCAGGTACAGCGCTGGATTGAGATCACTCAGGGCTGAGGGGAAATCCTGGACACAAATTTTTTTTTTTTCACCTTTATTCAGAGAATACATTAAGGTAAAAAACCTTAAAATGTTTTAGAAACTTTTTAATGTAGCAGAGCAAGGGAGATCCTTGCACTGTAGGCCCTTGGGTACAGCTTCCTCCCCAGCAAGGAGAATAGTAGTGATATCTCAGATGTCACTCCAAACCTGAGACTAGCAGATGGAGACAAGATAGATGTAGATATGTTTTCAAGAATTAAGGCACAGGAAGTGCGCTGCTATTTTTCAGGACTAATTCTTTTTTTTTTAATAAGAAATTTGTTAACTACAATTAATATTTGTAGATGTTCTCTATAACATACTCAAAAAATGTGACCTAATTATAAAATCCATCCCATGTAATTATCTAAAATCCTGCATAGTGTTTCTATCCACCAGATGAAAGTTTCTTTTAGGCTTGCGGTAGATGTGACTGGTTCTCATAAAGATCGCATTCTTCTGTTTTTGTATAGGTATGATAGGAAAATCAAATTGTAAGCTCCATAAACACTGGTTAAGAGATTTCTGTTGTCTGTAAATGGTTATGTATTATGTTTCCATCATATGAACTCAGTCCATAAAATGGTAATGTATGTCTTAACCGCTTCCGCGCCCGCCCTATAGCAGAAATACTGCTACAGGGCGGTACGGGTGTGCAAAATCACGTATAAATATACATGATTTTGCAGTTCTGGGTAGGGGGGGCGCGTGCCCTACCCACGCCGCCATTTGCGGCCTCAGCTGTCAGTTACCAGGTGATTCTCTGCCAGCACCCGGCGATCTCCGAGTATTTCTGACAGGGGAGAGACCTGTATGGAAACAATACAGATCTCTCCTGTCAGCTCCTGCACACTACTTTGTATGGCTCTGCATAGCACAGCACTACAAAGCAGTGTGTTTATAGTGTAAAGCACACACAGCCCACATAGTAAAACAGCACACAGTTAACCCTTTGATTGCCCCAGATGTTAACCCCTTCCTGCCCAGTGTCATTGGTACACTGTCAGTGCTTTTTATAAGCACTGATCACTGTATTGGTGTCACTGGGAATGTCAGTGACACCAAGTCAGTTCCCTCCCAGTGTCAGAATGCCCACTGCAGTCCTGCTATAAGTTGCTGATTGCCGCCATTACTAAAACAATTCCAGTATATATACCGCCATTTGTAAACGCTATAACTTTCACGTGAACCAATTAATTTACGCGTATTGGGATTTTTTCTTAGCAAAGACATAGAGCAGAATACATTTTGGCCTAAATTTATGACGAAATTTGATTTTTAAAATTTTTTTTACCGGTCATGTTTAATAGCAAAAAGTCAAAAATATTGTTTTTTTTTGTTTTCAAAATTTTCAGTCTTTTTTCGTTTATAGCACAAAAAATAAAAACTACACAGGCGATCAAATACCACCGAAAGAAAGCTCTATTCGTAGGAAAAAAAGGCTGTACATTTCATTTGGGTGCAGCGTTGCATGACCGCGCAATTGTCAGTTAACATGATGCAGCGCCGTAACGCAAAAAATGGCCTGGTCAGGAAGGGGGGGAAAACCTCTGGAGGGTGAGGGGTTAATGTACTATATAGCAACATAAATAATAGCACTCTGGTCACAGCTGGTTTTTGTTTACATGGTCTTCACCCCCTAAGCATAAGTTGATGTCCAAGTATACACAGAAAGCTGATTAATGTATTTTTATTGTTAAGGTGGAGAACTGGAATCCACTGACAGACACCGTACCCATCCACTCATGGATCCACCCCTGGCTGCCACTTATGCAGTCCCGGCTGGAGCCCCTGTTCTCCCCAATCAGGAACAAGCTGGCCAATGCCCTGCAGAAGTGGCATCCAGTGACTCTTCTGCTAAATTAATCCTACAACCCTGGAAGGACGTCTTCACCCCGGGATCCTGGGATGCCTTCATGGTGAAAAACATTGTGCCCAAGTTAGGTGAGTTATCTTTTCAATTGTACTGCAAGGGTAGTGAGCCAAATCCAGCATGGAAAGAATAAAAAGCAGCGAAATTAAATTGCTGTCTTCTGTAGCTTGGGAGCCCCAAATCTTTGAATTCCAGACTACTCTGATCTGAAAACTCTGACAACTCCTAGTAGTGTCAATTGCTAGCTCCTCCTTTCTATTGGTCTCTCTGTGTGACCACTGGCCTTTTTGGGAATTATATGGAATAGGTCCCACCCTGCTGTGTTTTAATCATTCTCTCTGTACTGCTTTAGGGTTATGTTAGTCTGGCCTACTGTTTTTTTTGTTTCCCAGTGTAGGCAGCACTACAATCTAACGGCTAATGACTTTCCTGTATTGCTCAGTGGACTCTAAGGCTGGCCATACATTATACAATTTTCTTGAGATTTTTGGTTTAGATTTACCAAAAACCATTTAACCTCCTTAGTGGTGTTCCCAAGTGTAGCTTGGGGTAAAACTTCTATACCAAAAGCGGTAACCCCGAGCTACACTCGGGCTTACCATGCGGCGTTGCTCAGGGGGTCCCCTGCAGCACTTACCTTGTCTTTCGCTCCCGCGATGTGTCCCCTGCAGCGTCCCCGGCCATCTCCTCCGGCCGATGCCGGCATCCGGCTTCCGTGTTCCGGTCCCTGTGACGTCGGGACGTACGGGCGCCGGAACTCCGGCGGGAAATTTGAAATTTTTAAAAAATGTCATTTTTGATGTCATTGCTGTTTCAATGCATTTCACATACATTTTATCCCGAGTGCTTTGCCCTGCGCCCTGCCTGCATTTTGTCTGTTCTTTCTGCCTGGAAACTGAGAAACGTCCATGGTGTCCAAAAAGCGTCCCTTTACGTCAAAAGTGGTTTTAGACCGGCTAGAGAACAGCGATAGTAAATCAGAACCACTTGCAGAATTGAGTGATAATGATTCGTGGGGAAATTTGTCATCAGACACTGAAAACGATTCTGCGACTTTGCTCAGCGATGTGCGAATTTGCCTCTGTATTTCAAATTTCAGTGTTTTTTGGTTTGATTATATTATTGAAATAAATTTATTATTATTATATTATTATTTTTTATGATTATTTATTAAATTATAATTTATGATTTCGTGTTTCAAGTTTTATCATCCCCGGGATGTTTACTAGACTCTTGTTCGGACAGATTTCAGTGAGTTATTCCTAAAAATTACAGCCTACAATAAAAAACTACATATTTCCATGCAAAAAAATGTACCGCTTTCAGCACAAAAAATCGGAAAGAATCATACCGCCAAGGAGGTTAATAGGAGGTCAAACCTAACAACACTTATAATTGTATCCAATTAGGCAGGCTCTTGCAAAACATAGTTGAAGGTAAATCTAAAGGAAGTTGAGCAGAAAATTGTATAGTGTAAGAAAAGGACTTGGCATTGAGTACAGAAATACTATTGTTCAGTACATCTCTGCAATACATGCACATTTCCTCATTTTTTGTCACTTTAAAAACACTGCAAGCACAAAATAATATCTATTGATCTGCCAGAAATCCAGTGAGCTCCTAACTTTTATTATTATTATACAGGATTTATATAGCGCCAACAGTTTGCTCAGCGCTTTACAATATAACAGGAGACAATACAGCAACAATACAGTTCAATACAAGAGGGATTTGAGGGCCCTGCTCCTTGGAGCTTACAATCTAGGAAGGAGGGACTAGTGGTACAAATGGTAGTAACTGTGGGGGATGGACTGGTAGGAAGAGTAGAAGATTCCATTATTAGCTGAGGGCAGGATAGGCTTCCCTGAAGAGAGGTTTTCAGAGATCGCCTAAAAGTGAGCAGAGTAGGCGATAGTCTGATAAATTGGGGTAGAGCGTTCCAGAGGATGGGGGAAGCTCTGGAGAAGTCCTAAAGATGAGCATGGGAGGAGGAGACAAGGGAGCTAGAGAGTAGGTCTTGCGAGGAGCGGAGAGTACGGTTTGGGTGATATTTAGAGACAAGACTTCTAGCTTCCTGTAGTCCTTTAAATGTGCATTTATCTTTAACTGTCGCACTTGTATGCATTTATTTATTGGAGCTGTTTTTGTGTCTGATAGGCATGTGTATGGGGGAATTTGTCATTAATCCACATCAGCAGCACATGGACGTCTTCCTTTGGGTGATGGATTGGGAGGGGATGATCTCTCTGTCCAGCCTCGTAGGGCTCCTGGAGAAACATTTCTTCCCTAAGTGGTTGCAGGTAAGTGGATTATAGCCTGGGCTGATACTGTGTACCATCGTAGCCTGGCATAGCTAGAAAGACCCTGCCTGGTGCTGCAAGTGCTCCAAACACTTATAAACTCCCTGGGTACTGCTCTCTAGGATTTACGTCTTTAAGTCCTTCTGTGGGCTGTCAGAGATTTAGGTTTGCTTTTTCTTTGACTTCAACTCCATGCTTCATTCTCTAACTGGTATAATTTGTTCCATCTGGAACCAATCAATTTGGATTGGATGTTTATGCTTACAGGGATATTAGAATATCTTACAAAACACATAATTTACACTAATAGTTAGAGGTCTTAACCTCTTCACGCCGGCCGAACGCAAATGTGTGGCCTCCCGGGATCTGGGCCTAGACGCCGAGCGGCCGCACATTTGCGTTCTATTAAAAAAGGACATATGTGCCGAGAGCGAGCTCCCAGCACACATGTCCAGTACTCACAGAAAGGTCCCGATTTCCTCTTTCGATCGGGACCTTTCCCGATCATGTGACGGCGATCACGTGACGGCGATCACATGACCCTAAACCTCGCCCGCCTCCCGGCTTCTGAAAGTCTTAAAGGGCCAGGAGTCTCCGGCGTGAAGGGGTTAAAGAGACAAAGGTAACATTCTAGCATTAAAATCTTTGTTGCCTGTGCATCTTTACAGCTATTGAAGTTTGTGATAGGGATGCACCGTAATTTTGGTGGCCGAAACGTTTCGCCCGAAAACACCCCTTTCGGTCGCCGGCCGATATGAAGAAAAGCACCGATACAGGTGCTGAAAAACCCTCAACTCCACCCACCCCTCGCCACCGCCCCTCACTACAGCTGCTGCCGCCATCGGCCACCTCTTGGTAGTTCTCAGCCTTACCTGAGGAACGATCTCGACGCTGGGCATAGAGATTAGTGAAGGAAAGATGGCTTCCACTCATCTCTATGCCCTTGGAGGACCAGAGTTATGTCACTTCCTGTTCCAGGCTTTTTTTTTTTTTTTTTTTTAAGCACTAGATCAATGCTTTTTTTTTTGATCCAATGCTTTACATTGCAGAGGAGAGATGTGAGGTCTTATTGACCCCACATCTCTCCATATTAGGACCTGTCACTAAATATTTCTATCACAATGGATGCATGCATTTCTTGTGATTAAGAATAAAAGTGAATAAAAATTTTAAAGGGACAGTGCAAAAAAAAAAAAAAAAAACCCATTGAATAAATTTTTTGGAAAATAGTGTAAAGTGCCCCCGTCCCCCCCGTGGTGAACTCATAGGTAGGCCATGTCCACATATGTAAATGGTGTTCAAACCACACACGTGAGGTATCGCCACGAACGTCAGAGCAAAAGCAATAATTCTCACACTAGACCTCCTCTGTAACTTTACACTGCTAACCTGTAGAAATTCTTAAAGTATCACCCATAGAGATTTTTAAGTATCGCAGTTTCACGCCATTGCACGAGTGTGCGCAATCTTAAAGCTTGACATGTTGGGTATCTATTTACTCGCTGTAACATCCTTTTTTCATATTTTACAAAAAAATTGGGTGTATATTTTTTTTTTTTTCCCAAAAAAAAATATTCATTTTTAAAAACTGCGCATTTCTGTTATCAACCAAGGGCATTTTGAATTTTCGGTTTTGGCACCAGAATTTTCATTTCAGTGCACCACTAGTTTGTGATGTTGGTGTAAAGAGCCTGATTTTGCTGACCTTGTGTTACTTGTTTAATTGAGCATTCAAAAAAATGCCAAACTTTTGGGACAGTTCAGTTACTCTAAAATCTTTGATCTGCTGAGAAAAAAAGGGGGTGTGGACTTTCCTGATATGTTCTTGAAAATGCTAGTTGACTGGCTGCCATGGTGATTTAGTTTGTTCTATTCCTCAAGTCATTCACAGGTATCCAATCAGGAGTAGTATTGTGTGCTACATACTTATTGTGGGTTAGTGATTCAGAAAGTGTAATAGGCAGAGATTGGAAAGCCTGGCAGCTGGGGGGGGGGGGGGTTTGTGCTTTTGGAAATGAGAAAATTACAGCTGAAATGTTAGGGACCAGTTCATTCTATTGTGATGCATTAACAAATTTTTTTCCCGTGCTTCAAAATTCTGTCCTCCTGTTAACTCCAACTGTGCAGTACTGTGCACTACAGGGGTTAAAGGATCAGTTCACCTTTCGTAACATGTTACATCCTACACCCATGTTCAGAGTGTAACCTATAACATGTTACGATCTGACCGGCCCCCGCACCCTCCCGATGCTGTGTTAGCTAGCGGGGGATCTTCTCCTTCCTGCTAGTTGTCACAATTTAAAAAAACCAAGGTCGAGCAAGGCTCCGCCCTCCCTGCCGCGTCATTCATTCATTCACTCACAACATTCTGTGAATGGGAAACCTACAAGTCCCATCAGCCTTTGTGGCCCTCGGCTTGTAGTTCTTTGAGCCTTCCTGTCAGTAGTATATGCTTGCTTGTACGAGCAATCAGATATACGGATAGGTCAGGGGGAGACCTGCATGGCACCAGCAATCTACTGATCGCTGGTGAAATCCTTTAGAGGCTCCATAAACAAAAAATAATAAATGCACATTTTTTTTATGTGCATTTATCATTTTTTTTGTTAAAAGGTGAACTTATCCTTTAAACAATCGGTTTTTTTTGGTCAAGGGGCGAGAACATGTACAAATTACCTTATTCCTTGACTCCCCCTGGCGCTCAGCACTTTCCTCCATTGTTCAACGCTCTTGAATGTGGGTGTCCCTTACTGTTCTTGTGTACAATGGAAGATTGTTGGTCATACATTGTGCTTGTTTGTACCCCCCCCAGCTAAATGAGTATTTAACCTATACAGTGCAACACTGCAGGGATAACTTGTACAACAAGCTAAAACAGGGCCATAGGGAAGCTTGTTTATTTTTAGTAGGTTGTCAGCACACCTCAGAGTAGGGAAAAAAATAATTGGCAACGCAGTGCGCCACAAAATGTTTTTTTGTTTTAACCTCCCTGGCGGTATTCCTGAGTGTAGCTCGGGGTAAAGTTTCAGCACCACAAGTGGTAACCCCGAGCTACACTCGGGAATACCCTGCAGCGTTGCTCCAGGATCTATTCTTCACCTACCTTGTCCTGCGCTCCCGCGATGTCCCTCCTGCAGTGTCCCCTGTAATGTCCTCCGGCCGATGCCGGCATCTGTCTTCCGGGTTCCGTTCCCTGTGATGTCGGGACATACGGGGGACGGAACTGGCAGGAAATTTAAAAATGTCAAAAAGCGACATTCACTAAATTCACTAAAATCGTATAGTAAAACATTCATGTATCAAACCATTTCACATACATTTTGTCCCGAGTGCTTTGTCCGGCGCCCTGCCTGCATTTTTACTGTTCTTTCTGCCTGGAAACAGAGAAACGTCCATGGCGTCCAAAAAGCGCCCCTTTAGGTCAAAATCGGTTTTAGATCAGCTAGAGAACAGCGATAGTAAATCAGAACTACTTGCAGAATTGAGTGATAATGATTCGTGGGGGAAATTAGTCATCAGACACTGAAAACGATTTTGCGACTTTGCTCAGTGATGTGCGAACTTGGCGCTATATTTCACATTTCATTGTTTTTGGTTTGATTATATTATTGAAATAAATTTATTATTATATTATTATTTTTTATGATTATTTATTAAATTATAATTTATGATTTCATGTTTCAAATTTTATCATACCCGGGATGTTTACTAGACTCTTGTTCGGACAGATTTCAGTGAGTTATTCCTAAAAATTACAGGTCTACAATAAAAAAAAAAATGCATATTTCCATGCAAAAAAATGTACTGCTTTGAGCACAGAAACATGGACATAATCAGACCGCTAGGGAGGCTACACATACAGTTGAGTGCATTGGGTGCTATTTAGATGAATGGCTCAGCAGTGCACATAAACCTGTACATTGCTATAATGTTACTTTACACAGGCATGTAATTGCTGCCTAAAAGTAAAAAAAAAATAAAAACAAGAAAACGTTTTTTTTTTTTCCTTATTCTTCTGTCCTGCAGCCAGGCACCCTAATATATATATTACTCCATTACATCATATGAATATCATTTTTATTGTTCATCTTCTTAACAGGTGTTGTGTTCCTGGCTCAGCAATAATCCCAACTATGAGGAGATCACCAAATGGTACCTGGGCTGGAAGTCCATGTTCTCAGATCAGGTGTTGGCTCATCCTGGTATCAAAGAGCGCTTCAACGAGGCCTTAGACATCATGAACAGAGCTGTGGCCTCCAATGTTGGTGAGTGGAGATATGTACTATATGAACTGATAGTCCTGTCAGCAAGGCAATATTTGGTAAAATCACTGTTGCCTTCCCTGGTTTCTTCCCCCTTCCCTCTCATCAATATCAAAAGTCATTACTGGTTCTATATGATTATCTATGCAATGCAGGAAGATCATGGCTGGTGGGAGGGTGCAGTGTTGTACATAGCTTCACAAAATCATCACAGCACCCTGCCTCAGTACTCCCTTTCAGAGCCTTCAGCCCTTACGTAATCAGATGCAAGTTTGGAAGAGAGGGAGCTCCTGGGCAAGTTGTAATTACATGCAGACTGCTTATGTGACTCCAAGCCCCTGTGATCAAAGGAAGTGAGATCCAATGAATGAAAAGAGCGGGCAAGGAAAAGTCAGGCTGGAGAGAAAAGAGCTAGATGATGGTGGGTACCCTCTGGCCAGGAAATTAGGTCGACTTTACTGCCTTGCTGCAGGATCTAATGCACACTGTGAGTTTAAGTTGAGGAAAGGAACATCTAAAACTGCAAAAACAAAAGGTAAGGCTTCAGTTCAGATTTAAAGCTATGAAACAAAAATCTTCCCTGTAAAGTCGACACTTAATGGTCACCTCTTTTCCTGCACAAGTAATCTCAGCAGCAGTAAAGAGAAACCACCAGCTCAATAAACCTCAGAATCTGACAGTGTCAGATTCTGCTTTCTGGTCCCCCGCTGTGCTTTTTAGGTCGATCTTCAGGCCCCATTTTCACAATGGGGGTTATTAACAAAATTTGGAGAGTGCAAAATCTGGTGCAATGCTGCATAGAAACCAATCAGCTTCCAGGCTTTATTGTCAAACCTTAAACAAGCCGATTGGCTACTATGCACAAATGCAACAGATTCTGAGTGTTCCAGTTTTGGTAAATCTCCCCCAATGTGTTCTGTAGTGTCGTAGGGACCAATGGGAAAAACAACAGAATGCAGTGGGAGACCTGGAAAGTGGGGAGGCGGTTTCTCGCCACTCCATAAATTCAGAAAACAGCCAGGATCCTAGCATTTTCAAGAGGAGGTTGGCAAAGGCAGGATATTTACTTTTCAGCTCAGGTTTCCTTTGAATGACTGCAAAACCAATTTCCACCCTCTGTCCTTTTTTGCTGGATGTAAGCCTTTGTCTTTGATCCCTATTGCAGGACCATACATGCAGCCAGGTGCCCGAGAAAGTATCGCATACCTGACTCAGACCGAGAGGAGGAAAGACTTCCAGTACGAGGCCATGCAGGAGCGACGAGAAGCAGAAAGCATCGCACAGAGAGGCATTGGGGTCGCCACAGTGCCCATGAACTTCAAGGACCTTATCCAGTCCAAAGCAGAGGAGCACAATATTGTTTTCATGCCGTTGTTTGGCAAGAAGCACGAGGGCAAACAACTCTACAACTTCAACCGCATTGTGATATACATAGACAGAGGCGTTGTGTATGTCCAGGGAGAGAAAACGTGGGTGCCCACGTCCCTGCAGAGTCTTATAGACATGGCCAAGTAGACCTGGAAGTGGGTCCTCCCATCAGCACAACATTGTACAAAGCTCTGAGATGGCCAGGCAGACAATGTAATGTACAGGATTTCTTTCTAATCAGTGGCACTGTACGTAGCTCAATACAGAGCTCATTGGTTTGTTGAATGGCAAAAACTGTAAATATCCTATTTGTATAAATTAAATATGATGTATTTTGTAGTGTGTTAAATCTGTGTTCTCAAGTGTTGACTGTGTTCAGAGAGAAAAAAAAAAGAGAATTCCAGGTTTCCTGGCACCTTAACTCCTTCATGACCGAGAGTAAAAGAAACCTTAACCACTTCCCGTCCGGCTGTTGTATATAAACGGCTGGATGGTGGCAGTGCAGGGTCGGGTGGATGTTTATAAACAGCCTCCCCGCACCCTGCTTGTGTGCACTCCATGGGAGCGCGCGGCACCTCGATCCCGTTCCCGCTGTGTCCTCCTGACATAGTGGAACACTGATCGTCGGTCGGGACCTCTGTGCGAGGTCCCGATCATATGATCACCGATTGGCCAATCAGTGATCACATGCAGAGTAGTAAGCAATGATGTCACTTCTGACATCATTGCTTACTACGTGTGAAATCTGAGAACAATAACAGAGGTCACATGGTACAAGGCTATTCACAACAGCCTTGTACCATGTGACAAGCTGTGACCAATCACAGCTCACACAGTAGTTCTCAATGGCTGCAAGAATGCAGCCAGAGAGAAGGAGAAATTATTGTTTTTACATCCTTTATGGGTGTAAAAGCAATCAGTGTAGAAAAAAAAAACATTTTCATCACCCCCCACAAGTAGTGCAGTGTCACCATGGTGACACTGTACTGCTAGGGTGACAGTATGTAAAAAAAAAAAACACAAAAAAACATAAATAATAATATAAATTTTTTTTAAAAATTATACTTTTTGGTTGTAAACTAATTTGGGTTATTTTTTTTTTTTTTTTTTACTAAAAAGATAACGGAATAAATTTTGGCCAAAATGTATAATGAAATACTATTTATTTGCAAAATTTTATAATAAAAACACTTTTTTTTTTCAAAATTTTTGGACATTTTCATTTACATAGCAAAAACAATAAAAATCCCAGTGGTGAATAAATACCACCAAAATAAAGCTTTATCTGTGTCAAAACAATGCTAAAAAATTCATATGGGTACAGTGTTGCACGACCGTGCAATTGTCATTCAAAGTGTGATAGCACTGAAAGCTGAAAATTGGCCTGGACAGGAAGGGGGTGAAAGTGTCCGGACTGGAAGTGGTTAAAGTGGGAGTAAACCTTTGTACCTATAGATAATCCTACAATGAGGATTTCCTGTAGGTACCGTAAATATCTCTTAAAAGTGTGCTGTTTAGGAGATATTTATCTGTGTATCCTCTGGAGACGTTACTGGTGCATGCGCTCTGATGGAACAGCATACCCGTGCTGTACCTCCACAGCCCTGTCGCAAACCGTGACTCCCACGCGCATGAGCAGGAGTAATGTCATCGCGGGTCAGGCATTCAAGCGGCCGCAGCCAGCGAACCTGGAAAAAGACTGAGTGAAGATGCATTCCCAGTCAGCGGTGACAGGCTGCTGCTGGAGGGGTCCGTTTCACAGGTAAGTCTGCTATAATGTGCTAGTATACGGTGCATACTAGTACATGATGACTTCACCCTCCGAGGAGAACAGGTTTTTTTTTTTTTGCTGCTGCTTTTAATGCCCAGACCCAATTTTGCAACTTTGCGTTCGAAAAACTGTACATATGATTCCAACTACTTCGTGTATCCAGGTTGGTTATACCCAGGGGCGGACTGACAACTCATGGGGCCCCCGGGCAACGGGATCATGGGGCCCCTGTGTCCTTGCCCAAACTCAAAAAAACCTATGAAAAAGGTACCAGAGGCATCTCATGGGGCCCCCAACTGACCCTGGGCCCTCGGGCAGTGCCCTAGTTTCCAAATGGCCAGTCCGCCCCTGGTTATACCGCGTTTTTTTTTTTCAGGACAAATTGGGCTTTTATTTGGTGGTGAATTGTAAGGGATATTTCCTTTTTGTTTCTTTTAATAATTATTATCAAAGGAAAACTGGCCCAAAATAGTACCAAAAAACCCCAAGAACTTATTTAGCTGTATATCTCTTGCTATGACCATAACAACCCAAAATCAATTCTGCTGCAGTCGATCGCAGCAATATCACATATGTTTGGGGGTTTTGTTTAATTTTCAGGCCTAAAATTATTTTTTTTTAATTTTTTTTTTAAAAATGCAAAAACGGCTCTGGCAGCAAAGGGCATAAAGGATAAACCTGACATTCCCCTTTTCTGACAAGCACGCAATCGGTGCTCATTACACTGTGAGGTCCCTCCCCTCCCTGCTAGTCCTCAGGGGCGGGGCTGGAGACAGGCAGGGAGGGGAGGAGTAGATAAACAGCACAATGTTAAAAATATTAAACGTTTAAGACGCCATAAAGCCCCTTTTGATTTCACAATCCCCAGACATTCTTAAAAGCACCTCAGATTTAAATAAGGTTTTGGTTAAAAAAAAAAAAAATTTATTTTTTATCTGGACAAGTAGATTGGGGCACCGATTTAGTCCCTGGATAAGTAGTTTTTTACAGTCATCAAAATAATCATTAAAAAAAATCCTGTAATGAATACTCGAGAGTACACAAGTTTATAACAGCAACTCCACCAAAATGGGGGATCTCCATAACAGAAAAGTATGAGCCATTGAAATATCGTAGAGCAAGAACACTGCCAAACAGCTCTAGTAGAGATGTAGTACTAGAGGCAGCTAAACCTAACAGAGTGAGCCAAGGGGTACGCCTGGGACCACAAATAATCATTTTTTTGGATAGCACCTATGTTGGTACATTATTTTTCCCTGCCTAGGACAGAGTTCACTGATCTCTCTTAGACGCCTTTCCTCCTGGCGGCTTTCCAGCAGCGTTTTTAACATCTTTGCAATGGCAGAAAAAAAAAAACTCTTGATGCTTGTAAACGTATGGAAAGTATCACACTTAGGCCTAATTGTGTTAAGTATTTTGGCGTTAATTCATTTTTCATTGGCCAGTAATAATATTAAAAATGTCCTTTAAAACATATAAGGCTCCATGTACACAGGACGTTTAGAAAACACTTCTGAATGATGGAAACTGACTGCTTAGGTTAAAAAACATCAGTTTAGCCACGTTTGCATACCACGTTTATGTGCATTTGCGTTTGGAAGCATTTTTTAAAGATAACATCAGGAGACCTCCCAAAATGCCCAGAATGCTCTGAAAAACAGTAAAAAATTACCAATTTCAGACATTTTGAGAGGAATAGAGAGAGCAGAAGCAGAGAAAGCAGTATTTGTTGAGATGACCTGTTTTTCTGGTTGTATTTACTATGGATCCCATCATGAGCATAATGCGGCACATTCTACCATTGTTTCCTTCACGCAAAACCTGGAACTGACTGCGCTGGTGTACCGGGTCCATTTGGATGCAATTCTGATGATGAAAAAAGGCTCTGGACAGCATTTGGATATGGAACAGTTAAAAAAAACGCTTATTTATTTATGTCAGGTACTTGTATAGCTCTGTCAATTTACGCAGCACTTTACATATATATTGTACATTCACATCAGTCCCTAACCCTCAAGGGGTGTACAATCTAATCAGGTCCCTAACTCACATTCATACATACACATACTAGGGCCAATTTAGGTGTTCATTTATGACAGAATAGCTGCGATTCAGAGGATCGCAGCTATTCTCTGGTCATTCATGACACTCAGGAGATCAGCGGAGAACATGTTCAGCCCTTCACTGGAGATCTGTGTTCTCCCTCTGGATTCTCCAGCCCAGAGCTGGAGAATCGGAGGGACCCCAAACTAAGCAGCGATAATTTACCTCTATTTAGTAAACTGATCTTTTACTGTAATCTCGCGAGATTATAGTAAAATCAGCCGTTTTCCACCGTTTGTAGACCGTTCTCCCTTTGTTTGGAGAACTGCTTCATAAAAGGCATTCCCAGGAGAACTGTGTTCTCAGAGAATGCCGGAGAACTGAGCAGCGATCTATTACCGCTGGTTCATAAACGGACACCTATGACAGGATCCAATTAACCTACCAGCATGTCTTTGGAGTGTGGGAGGAAACCCATGCAGGCACAGGGAGAACATGCAAACTCCAGGCAGGTGGTGCCATGGCTGGGATTCGAATCAACGACCCTAGTACTGCCAGGAAGTGCTAACCATTTAGCCAATGTGCTGCCCAACGCAAACGCTTATAAATGCATTTAGCCGCATTTACAAGCGTTTGAAACGCTGATAAAATCTACTCCTGAACACAAGTTTGCTGCGTAAAAAAAAAACAACTGTAAATTCAGTTGCCTGTAAACGCCGATGTGTACACGGACACATAGGAAAACATTAGGGAGAGTTCAGGGGCTGCTGAAAGAAACACAGAAAAGCTCCTGAATGTCAGTTTATCAGCTGCAGTGTACATGGAGCCTAAGGCTGAGGAGTCATTGTCAGCATTCCAACACTACAAGAAATGCAATAGGAAATGCAAGACCGCAATCAAGGCAGCTAAAAAAAGACTAGGAGAGACACACCGTGTAGAAGAGTAAAAAAAAAAATCCCAATATTTAAAAAAAAAAAAAAAAAAAAAAATTGGCCCCATAAAGGATAATCCGGGGAAGTTTGTTGGATACAAAGGGGTTTATTTACTAAAGTTTGAGAGTACAAAATGAGGCTCACTTCTAATAGACAAGAGATCTAATAAAATGCTTTCATACAGCGTGTTCTCACAATCTTCTCCCAGCATCCTATACATAATTGTACTGAGCAGAGAGGGGGGCGCAGACCGCAATAAAAACTATGAGCGGTTCTAATCCCTCCCCACTTTATCCTTGTTCTATCCAATAAGAAAAAAAAGTTTGACTATAATTCTACTTTTAGCCCGGGTTCACACTGATGCGGTGCGGCATTCACATTGGTTTCTGCACGATTTCTGGGGGTGTGTATTTTAAGTTAACGACACCCCAAAATCAGTTCGTAAAACGCGATGCACAGAATTGGATTGCCTGGGTGTGAGCGCCCATGTGATCTGATTCTGCTGCGGACAAAAAAAAAAAAGGGGTGCTGCTCTTTTTTTGGTGCAGATGCGGTGCAATTTCAGCCATACAAAATGTATGGCTTAAATTGCGCCGCAGAGAAATTGCATGTCATTTGCACAGGAATGCAGCGTGGTTCCTGTGCGAATCACATGCGATTTGCCACACCACATCAGTGTGAACCCAGGCACAAATGCCACTTCATTCCCTACTATGTGAGCGGCAGTGACAAGACGTGGGGTGTTTTCTATGCGTCATAGCGGTGAACTTGCGCTGATCTATATAGATTAACCCCCCCTGGCGGTATTCCCGAGTGTAGCTCGGGGTAAAGTTTCAGCACCACAAGCATAACCCCGATCTACACTCGGGAATACCCTGCAGTGCTGCTCCGGGATCCCTCAATCACTTACCTTGTCCTGCGCTCCCGCGATGTCCCCCCTGCAGTGTCTCCGGCAATGTCCTCCGGCGGATGCCGGCATCTGTCTTCTGGGTTCCGTTCCCTGCGACATCGGGACGTACGGGGACGGAACGGCGGGAAATTTGAAAATGACAAAAAAGTGACATTCACTAAATTCACTAAAATCAC